TACATATCTAACAAATCTTGTTTAATATTCTAACATTCTAAAAATCACATTAGAATATTTACAGTGTAATATTCTATTAGAATATTTACAGTGTAATATTCTATTAAAATATTTCACGTATTTTAAAAAAAAACGGTAACTTTTTTTTTATTTTTTTAGGTAATTAAAGTGACGAAAATAATAATTAAAAAAAGAATTTTCGGATTTTTCCTTTTATTTTGTATTTTAAAATTATTTTTAGATTTGGTCTCACGGTCTCACAAAATTATTATGGTCTCAAATGAACCTGAACCTATATATGGGGAAAGAGAACATAATTCTAACTTTTAGAGATTATCATTTTACATACCAAACCTTGTAAAATACAAAGTCAACGAAGAAAAGAAATACAAAAACCAGAAGAAAACAGAATATATTATAATTCATAAATAGATACATATCGGTAAATGTACTTGAATTTAAATTTTAGAAACAAATTTAATAAAATATACACGTGTAAACTATATACGTGTTTGACAAAACCAGTTGGTAGCTGGTAGCATTATGTTAAACTCTACGTGACGTAGCTTTTAGATTCTGAGCGTTTTGTTTAAACTAAACGTTAAAAGCTTATAGTGTCAAACGATACTTTTTTTTCTTCAAAACGAAATGTTTTGCCAAACGCTAGAAGCTAGAAGCTCTCAAACGCTCTGTGCAAAAAAAAATCACTTAATACGGAATATCCCCGAACAAAATTTTACGATATATAGATGTATCTAGATAGTACAACTATCGATCAAAGAGTACTTCGAATAAAAAATACATATTGAAACAAAATAAAACATAGAACAATAACTTATTTTAATAGACCAACATCACAATCCTAGTCCAAGACTCTTAATCCAAACCTTTTTGTTAAACCTTTCAAACAAGTACTTATAAAGTCACTCAAGTTTCAAACAGGTGTACATGAATAATTATTTAAGAGTTAAATATACGGGTTTAATTGAATATTGAATACAAGATTAAAATACGTTCTAAATAAGTTCAAGAAGTAATATTTTAAAAGTAGCCTAAAAGATCTCTATTTGAGATTTTGGCCCAACTTTATATAATAAAACATATTTATTACCCATATGATTCCCGACATCAACAAGACAAGGCCCAAGGGTCCTAATAACAAGGGGCTGCTGGGGATAGGCATTGGACCAATCTCATGTCAAGCCCCATTTACTGACCTCTAATTCAAAGAAAATTGGGTCTATGATTACACCAGATTAACAAGATGATAACCCAACTTGTAGCAATGAAACAGTATAAGAAGTTGTGAACCATCCGGTGTCTTTTGGAAACGTTGAGCTCATTTGACCCAATTTTATTTTATGCATTGAACATAAATACAACTCAAATCGAGCCCGTTTAGGTTTAAATAAAATTGTCACCTTCAATTACATTATGATTTATAAGGCCCTCAGTAATTTACATATAAATTAGAAAGAAAAAAAAACTATAACGAAAATAAATGTGAGCAACAAAACCAAGTAAACTAACCATAAATTGAATCGAATTCATATATATATATATATATATATATATATAATATATATATATATATATATATATTATATATATGGAAAAGTTCAATAGAGAATTATAATTATTTGTTCTTCAAAGAACCAAATCTTTTTTCCAATGTTTAGAGCTTATTCTTTATCGAAAAAAAAAATATAAAAATATCTAAATTCATATATTAACATTGTGAATGTGAAAAATATTTTTCGGATTCACAGTGTGAATCCGGATTCACATTGTGAATTTTCAAAGATTCACATTGTGAATTTAACGTAAAAAAAATTGAATTAGATATCATTGGAAAAAGGATAAAAAATTATGAATTTCTGTATTTTTAGTTTTTTTTTTGATAAAAAATAAGTTCTAAAAGTTGAAAAAAGATTGGTTCATTGGTTCCTATGTTTACTTTTGTTTTAATACATATCAAACCCAAAATGCATTAAATCGTCGCTTACGGAAAATGAAAAGAAAATAAATTCTGCAAAACACATCTATATTTTCTAATTGACTAATAATACATTCATGTTCAGAGAACTTGATCGGTTTTATCAATATAATTTATTATAATAATATTTTATATATTAATTATATATAAAATTAAAAGATAAACGAAAATATTCACAAGAGAAAATGGGGAACACTTTTTTTTAGAACGGCTACACACGCATCCACTACACTACTTATAGTCTACATCTTTTGTCTCAAACGAGACTTGAACCCTCAATCTTTGGCTGAGAGACATCTATCAGCCAACTCCTGATACTGTTAGGCCAAAGATCCTTTGACAATGAGGAACACTTAGGTTATGTTTGGTGCGCTACAACTAGCTGATAAACTAACTTATTTTTCGAGCTTTTTTATGTTGTCATGTTTGGTAAGCTAAAAATAACTTATAAGCTAACTTTTTAAAAAACTATTCAAATTAGTTGTTTAAGAACTTTTTTAAATTTTTCCAAATATATCTCTAATTAGTTATAGAAGCACATTCATTTAAAATGTCATTTTATATATTTCAGTTAGTTTTATCAAACATTATTTTTATCGGTTAGCTTTTCAACTATCAACGAACTTTTTATTTAACAGCTAACTTTTCACCTATTAGCTAGTTTTTCAGCTAACAACTAACTTTCAAATTAATACGCCTTTGTAACCAGTTACTTTTGACCAGCTAATCAACGTTGAACTTTCCGGCTTACCATTTCTAAGTTCCACCTTCTAACAACTACTAATAGTCTAATACTTTTTGTAATAATTGTGAATAGAAAAAACGTTTTTAAAAGAAACTGAAATTTAAAATTTAAAATAAAATATTATATTAATTTTCAACTATGGAGGCTATAGCCTAGGCTACAGCTATCTTACGACGAGTGGCTGGAACAAGGCAACATGGATAAACATCGGGCCGTTGGCCCACATAGTATAACATGGACTCGAGGAGACATATGGGGCCCAACCTAAAAAGTCTAATTCAATGCTTTCACGTGCGGCTACTGGCCCACTAATGTCCATAGCAATTATAATCTTACACGTGTGTGTACAAACTTTGTAGTCGTGTCTCAACAAGTTCCACAGAAAAGTAATTGTAGCTATTTTGTAATGTTTATTAAAAGAAAATAAAAAATTTATTTATTTTTCTATTTTATTTTTTAATAATTGATATGTGTAATTTTTTTTTTCTGGTCTTACCTTTTTATTTTATCACTTGATCCAATAAATAGATAGAGGATTATGAATATTTAAAGCTTTCTTATTATAATATACTATTTTTTAATTTATATAGTAATATTATATTTTAATTTTTTATAATGTAGAAATCTCATGATCTGACGTGTTAAAGAGTGAAACATGGAACAAAAAGACTTAGATCACTTTCTTTCAAATGGACGGTAGTTAAAAGGAGAAATGATGTGACGAATTACTTTGCTCTTACATTATAATATAAAGAAAGCAAACAAAATGTATAGGTAACGGGAAAAAAACACGTGCTCAAAGTCACATAACCTTTAAGATTACATAAAAATTGATCAAATATATCAAAGTAGATTCTAGAATGAACAACATAGAAGGATTACAAGTTGTTTGGTCGAGAAAATTAGCGGGTGTGGAGTATACATAACTGGCGGCGGTGGAGGGGCAAAAGGTCATTTCTGTTTGAAGAATAAGAAACCGACACAAGAGAAAGACAATGAAATCATATGTCAAAATATATAAACAATAGGATAATTTCATGAAAATAGGCCATGTAAATATACGTGCATGCCGCGAAAGTCAAAACAATGTAATGACTACCAATTGATAAAAAAGAAGTGAAAAATACAATATTTTCGTGGAAAACGAGCATATGATACAACAATAAATAGATAAATCAAAGTACGTCGTTATCATTTACATTTATATATGCTTACACAAAAGTTTGATATTTATAATGAAATGTGGAGTTTAGTTGTATTATATCACCATTTAACAATTAAACAATTATAATGACTCGATCTTTATGAGTATTTTGTTAGAGGTGAACGATTGATCCGGTTGGACCGGTCTGGACTAACTGGGACCGGTTATGAGAATACATGCCGGTTACCGACTCTTTATATTTGATTTAATCGGTTTCGGTTCCAAACCGGTTCGATGCCTCCTAGTGGCGGATGCATAACTTCATAGTAGGGGTGGCATGACACGGGGTGGTACGTAAAATTCAGTAGTGACACAATAGTAAAAAAAAAATCTAAAAATTTTGTAATGCGTACGGAAAAACTAAGCGTTGCCGGTGCCACTACAAGCACCATGGTAAAGCTACCAGTGGTGCCACCGGTTCCGGGTAAATTATCAGGACTGACCCATAACTTGAAGAGCCAAAATCAGCTCCTAATCAAAACCCGCAAAACTCATTTGTTTGAAATCAGAATACCATGACTTTTATTTCAATATGTAGTTCAGTGGTTGTACTTCATTTTAAACTATATAAACATCTAATTTGATTACATATTGATTGAGTTACATGCCTCATAACATATGGTATCAAAGCTGAAATTTTTTTTTTTTTTTTTTTTTTTTTTCAACATAGAGTTACAATTTTTGTTTTATTTTTTAAACATTCATAACTCTTTTGTTTGAAGTCATAATGATATGATTTTTTTTCAAAATGTAATTTACTTTTTGTATTTTATTTTAGACTATATAAAAACATAATTTGATTACATGTTGATTGAGTTACAGGCCTCAGAACCTTAGAACACATGATATCAAAGTTGAATTGTTTTTTGTTTCAACATTTACTATTTAGGGGGTGTACATTTTGGTAAAATAAATATTAAAAGTTTAAATAATGAATGTACATCTAGTAATGAGATATACTAATAACAGCACCCAAATAATTATGTGTATGGTTATTTGATTAATATGGGTTAAATAATAAATGTCATATCGTCTGTAGTCGATTTAGAAAAAGAATGGGTAAAGACGGATGGTCGGAAGTTTATCGGAGGAGACAGAAGAACGTGAGAAAGCGATGGAATCACAACGGGGTAACCACTATGTCCGTGTCCAATATACCTGATGGAGTCAACAAGGAATCAGTTAGTAGACTCTTTAAAAACTTTGGTGAACTGACGGATGTTTACATGGCGACAAAAAAAGATGCAAAAAAGAAGAACTTTGCCTTCGTAAGATTCAAAAAGTTCAGCAGAGAAAAGGAGATGGAAGCAAAGATGCAGGGATTAAAATGCAGGGGTTCAATACTTACAATCAACATTGCAAGGTTTGAAAGGATGGAGATATGTAAAAAGAAAGTGCAGGAAAAAATTTCACCAAATGTTGTGCAGCAACCTGTGGGACAATCATTCCGTGATGGGAGAACTTTTGTTGAGGTGGCGACTGGAAGAAACCAAACTGCATTCCCTCCCCCACCTGTTCTAGAGAAAAAACAGGTATCCCTCGTTGAAGGTACAATTATAACGAAATGGTTGCACAGCCCCCTAACCCTAGTTGGCAAGGCAATCTGCTTGGAAAAACTAAGGAACATCCCTCTGGAGTTTAGAATGGGAACTGAAAGATCGTATGAAATGAAATATCTGGGAGGCTTGATGGTAGGTATACGATTCAAATCCCCAACTGAAGTTGATGAATTTTTAACTAAAAAGAACTATTGGAGTACGTGGTTCAAATACTTCATGGTTGGGAACAGAGTGTCAGGGTCTTTTGGAAGAATTGCATGGTTGAAAATTGTTGGACTACCATTAGAACTATGGAGCGAAGAGAACTTTTCAAGAATTACAAGCGAATTCGGTGAAGTATTAGTTCCGATTGAGATTCTTCCAAGTTTACAGGACATATCTAAGGTAAACGTATGCGTACTAGCTGAATGTAAAAAGCACATAAATGAGGAAGTTAGGGTGGAATTCAATAGAAACATTTTCAAAGCCGGTGTAATTGAAAGCGACTACAATTGGTCCCCATTTCCATTCTCTCCAAGTGAACTATTTGGCTCAGAATCAAACCAAGATGTTAGTGGGGAGGACGAAAACGCATGTAATATGGACGAGAATATGTTGGAAGAGGGAGAAATCAAAGACGAAAGTGAAGATGACGATGAAGGATATCAGAAACCATCATGCCGGAAAGAAAAACGGACGATGAAGTCTCAGACGGGGAACCGACGATCTTGGTGGTGCCATGTGCAAGGGCTAACGATGACGAATCTGGGGACGTCCAACAGCCGTATTAAGAAAAGCAACAGTCGAATGACAATATGGAAGCATTAATTGGGGAGGACGGTTAAGTAAATGATGATCATTCCCTAGTAGGCGAAACCCAAGTAAACCGAGTATGGAATGAAGATGGGCCGTTTGGGCCAATTGGCAAGCTGGCACATTTTGGGTGTTTTGGGCCATTTCCCATGGGCTGTATCCCAACTATGCCTATGGAGACATCACACTTAATGGAGCCGGTAAACGAATTTGGCTCCGAATCGGTGTATGAAACGGGTGGAACTTTAGATAAACGAAGACGAATTCACCGATCTCCAAATAACGAATGGTGGTTGTCGAGACCAACAAAAATAAATAACCCTAAATCTTTTACACTAAAATAGTGTATAGTGGTAAAGGGGTCGATCCACGGAGATTGGTTCAATTTATAACTCTATGGAAAATCTCTTTGCAAAAGTATTTGTAAAATGACAATAAAATAGTGTATAGTGGTAAAGGGGTCGATCCTGAATTTGCCCCTTCAGAAATCCACGCGGGCCGCGTGAGGTGTGACGGATTTTTGGGCTTCTTCAAGTCTTGGGCCCCCACAGCTATTCCATTGGCCCAGTTCGAGTCCGATCAGCTTCTAGCCCGTTTTTCTTCAAGTTCTCTTCAATTTGAGCCCAATTTGACTTTTTCAAATCCTCTAAAGTCTCGTAATCGCCCGATCATCAATCTCCGGACACTCGAAAATTCCCCCCGCATCTTGCAAATTTAAAGTTTAATTCTTCCAAGCCTTCAAGTAATTGACAAGCCCACTTCCTGCATCATCTCCATAGCCATCAAACCCAAAATCCTCATTGCCCTTCTAGTCAACCGCCTCCCAAAAATCCCGCTCCGCTAGTCTCCAAAAAATCTGCAATAATGCTCAAGAAACTAGAAAGTACCCGAAATGATCATAAAATAACAAAAAGGAAAATATGCATGGAAATTAACTAAAATGCGAATGAAATGTGCTAAAATAAACTATGAAAAGAAGTAAACAAAATGAAGCTATCAATGAATTACCCCAAAACCAAAGGGTTGACGACACAAACTACCCCGGAGATACAAACCGTGACCCAACCCCCCCCCCCCCTCTGCAAACCGGGGATATCACAGACATCTTAATGAATACGGACGAAGCTCACAAAACGGTGGAAGTCGGGCAGTTAATTGGTTTCGAGATCGAGAGGGGAGATCCCATCCTAATGGAGGCGATGACTGAAATTGGAGAGAACCCAAACCACAGATGAATTTAATGTCGCTAAATATCCGTGGGTTAGGAGAGAAAGCAAAAGTCGAATGGGCGTGCACACTAAGAAAAAGCCACAGGTTAGTCCTTATGGCACTCCAAGAAACACAACTGGGTGACATCCATAATTCTCTTAGTATCTCAAGATGCTGGGGGAATAATAACTATGGATTTGAATCGGTCAATGCCACTGGGAGGTCGGGGGCCTTGTCACAATTTGGGATCCTAGCTTCTTCACCATCACAGATGCGATTGTATCCAGGTACTTTCTTGCGATATTTGGTACTTGTCTGGCAGTGGACGGTTTGATAGCGATTGTAAACGTATATGGTTCGAAATCAATCTCTGAAAAAAGCAAACTATGGAGCGACCTTCTTAACCTAATGCAAACAAAGCAGGCTACATGGGTAATCTTAGGAGATTTTAATGTTGTTCATGGGCCGGAGGAACGTATAAATTCGTTATTCTGAAAGTCGAGTGCTGATTCTTTCAATAGATTTATAGAACAAGCCGAATTGTGTGACCTAAAAATGGGGGGGAATAGATTCACCTACCTTCAACAATATGGGGCAAAATTAAGTAAACTAGACAGAATTCTGGTATGTCAAAACTTTATTGAAAAATTCCCGTTGGCATGCTCAGTTGCTCTCCCCAAAGAACTCTCAGATCATTCTCCAATCATTCTCAAAAGTGAGTCCGAAGATTTTGGACCTTCCCCATTCAAGATGTTCAACTCCTGGTTGTTAAGAGATGGATTCGAACAGGTGGTGCTTAAAGCATGGGTTGACTTCAAAGGTTATGGAGCTGCTGATTCATTCCTTGCTAATAAACTCAAATTTGTAAAAGGCAAAATTAAGAAGTGGAAGGCAATCGAATATCATAAGGAGAATGAAGAAAGAATAACAATAAAAAAAGAATGGATGAATTGGACTTGTTGGTAGAATCCAGACAATTATCTGATCAGGAAATGGAAGAAAGGGCTAGGGGCTTTGGTAGGTTCTCGGAATTGGAAAGATTGGCTTCGTTGGACCTCAGACAAAAGGCAAGAATTAAATGGGTTGTTGATGGTGATGAAAAATCTCGGTTCTTCCACGGATATGTGAACAACAGGGCAAGAAGGAATCAGATCCATGGATTCTTGGTGGAAGGAAAATGGATAACAAACCCTAGCGAAATGAAAAATACAGCAGTTGAATTCTTCTCAAAAAAGTTCCACGAAAAATGGGAAAATATGCCAAAATTTTGAGTGCTTTGTTTCGAAAATTATCAGAAGCAGATGCAGAATATTTAGAATCTCCAATTTCGATCACTGAAATAAAAAATGCTTTTTGGGCGTGTGGTAGCGAGAAGGCCCCGAGGCCGGATGGGTTTACACTAAAAAATTTTAAAAGATTTTGGGAATCAATAAAAGGCGATATCATTGAATATGTTAAGCACTTTGAAAGGATGGGCAAATTTTCAAGGGGATGTAATGCTTCATTCATCACCCTAGCCGCGAAAATTAAGGATCCTCTCAATCTTGGTGATTATCGTCCAATTAGTCTGATTGGTTCTCTGTACAAGATCATTGCAAAGATCTTGGCCCTAAGGGTCAAAAAAGTAATTGGGATTGTAATTGATGGAGTACAATCTGCATTCGTAGAGGGAAGGAATATTTTGGAGGGACCACTCATTGTTAATGAGATTTGTTCGTGGGCCAAGGCTAATAGAAGGAAAATATTACTTTTCAAAGCAGACTTTAACAAGGCCTTTGACTCTATTAATTGGGGTTATCTTGACTCCATTATGTCACAAATGAATTGTGGGACAAAGTGGCGAGCATGGATCAAAGGCTGCTTGGAATTAGCTAGAGCATCGATCATCATCAACGGAAGTCCCACTAAAGAGTTTGCGATGTCTAAGGGATTGAGACAAGGGGATCCCCTATCCCCATTTTTGTTTATAATCGCGATGGAAGGGTTAAATATCGCAATGAAATCAGCTACCTCCAGTGGTGTATTTGATGGTATAAATATTCCTAATGCTGATTTTTGTTTGTCTCATTTATTGTACGCAGATGATGCATTATTCTTAGGTGATTGGTCAAAAAGAAATGTTGCGAACCTTGCAAGAATACTTCGATGCTTCTATGTTGCTTCGGGCCTGAAGGTTAACTTCAATAAATCCAAAGTATTTGGTGTTGGAGCTCCGGACCAGGAAGTTGTCAACTGAGCAAATTTGCTGGGATGTGAACCGGCATCATTGCCTTTCACGTATCTTGGTGTTCCGATCGGAATGAATATGAATTGTATGGTGTCATGGAGGCCAATCTTGGAAAAACTAAAGAGTAAATTATCGGTGTGGAAGGCGAAAACACTCAGCTTTGGGGGTCGTATCACACTCGCTAAAGCGGTACTCGGGAGTCTGCCCACATATTATATGTCTATCTTCGATGCTACGTTCGGTGTCATAAACTCTCTCGAAAAAATTAGAAGACAGTTTGTCTGGGGCGGCCCAGATTGTAATAAAAGCATCAATTGGGTCGCATGGGAGAAGATTATGTCCCCAAAGAAGGTGGGTGGTCTAGGTTTGGGTTCAATTCGTGCTTTAAACCTTGCATTGCTTACCAAGTGGTTATGGAAACTGAAGAATGAACCCAATTCCTTATGGGTTAAGATTATAAAGGGGCTGCATAAAATGTCGGCAGTCCAAAATTCGAAACAAATAAGGAGTCGGTGGACGGGAGTTTGGAGGAACATCGTAAAAAGGAAAGCCGCATCGTATAAAATCAATATCCCACTTGAGGAGGTACTTCATTCAGGAGACCCACAAGCAGGAGGGGTATCTCCTTATGTCGTGGACGGAGATTTCAGTGTAGCTGGCCTCCGGGAGAGAATCGAAAGAGCTAATGTCCCAATATGTGACAGGTACTTTCCGTGGCTAAAAACAATCCCATTAAAGGTATCAGGTTTTGTATGGAGAGCCAAACAAAATAAAATACCCTCAGCGGGAGCTCTTCGAAACAGGGGGGTGGTAATGGCATCGACACTATGTGGTTCTTGTCAAAGATCGGAAGAAACTGGAGGTCATATTCTTGTCGAATGCCCATTTGCAAAAGACTTATTATACTCAATTCTTCAGTGGTGTAATATCCCTGTGACTGATTTCCAAACAGTCCAAAACATCATTGATTTCGCTATCAAATGGGGGAACTGCCCCAAAAGGAGAAAAACGTTACTTACGATTTTATTTGGGGCCTTTTGGTGTTTATGGAGAGCCAGAAACGAAAGAATTTTCAACAAAATTGAAAGTGAACCGACGTAAATATTTTCTATTGTAAAGTCCCAGACTTTTGTTTGGATGAAACATAGAGGAGGTAGAAACAAGTTAGATTGGAGACTATGGAATGAAAACCCTCTTTTTTGTAATTAACATAATGTAAAATCCTACCCAGCCTCTAGCTGACTTTATTTAGTTATAAAAGAAGTTGCCGGTTAAAAAAAAGTAAATTAAATGTACTCTTTATTTTAGGGATACTTTAATCTTTACAAATGAAGTATTTAATAAATGAAGTTTTTTTTTTGTTGTTGTTGTTGTTGTTTTTGTTGTTGTAAAAATGTCTTAAATGAGTTATACTGGACTTGTTTTTGGATCGACCAAAAATGTATAATGTATATTTTTTCTTTCTCATTTGCATATATTTTTTCTTCAAATTTTATATTCATGTTCGAAATGTCCAATTTCAGAATGTCTAATATCACTAATTTTCAATTAAACGTATGGTTTAAGTTTTTGTATCGAA